TCCCCCTGAAGTCTCCAATCTTGCGCCTGGGGCTTAGCTCCGACAGTAAGGAGATGTTTTGCGCGATTCCTAATGCACTGCCAAACACAGCGGCCCTCCATCGTGCGATAGCGTCACAAAATGTTCTACCTGCTGTTCTATAACCGCTACTATTTTCTAATTCTACATCAGCGCTGTAACTATTTACGCGGGTATTATGAACAAATAAATAAATAAGTGAATAAATAAAATGAATAAATAAGGAAATATGTCCTAGAACCTGGTAGAAAGCTACAGGTGAATGTAAAAATATTTCCGAGACTTTTTCCAGGCTGACGCAACCGGACACGATTCACCAACAGAGGAAGATGAGAACGAGAACGATATCTCTATCGAAACCACTCACGACGGTATGCTCAAACTCTGCTGCTCTGATCCGCAAGTGCTCCAGGTACTGTAACTAGGATTAGGCTACAGTGAGACCGTGAAGTACTACCTACCTTTTGTAGGCGGCGCAAGAGGCGCTTTCTCAGTATCTGCGAAGTCGTGCCAGACCGTCGGCTGCGGAACGAGAATTACGCAAGGAACGTCGAAAGAGTATGCCACTTCAGGCTAGCCAACCTGAAACCCCGGCTAAGGTGAGGGTATTAATTTCTCCGCTGATTTTCATGTTGTGAGGGGTGTGTATACTCGGCGACGGGGAACATACTCCTTCAGGCCGATGTCAGACTTTGCGAATCGCGCGATTCGCTAGCGTCTGCGGTCGCGTCGCGGCCAGTGAATCACTCAATTGGCTGGTACCGCAACGCGACCGCGGACGCTAGCGAATCGCTCGATTCGCAAAGTCTGAGACATTGGCCTTGTGAACTTTATTACCCTTGGCAAGATGTGTCGTGATTGCAGACATAGTGTCACATGTGGCATCAAATAGCATCGACAGTACCGAAAAGCACAAATGGGATTTTTGATGGCTGCCGTCACTTGTACTTCTTAGTCTGCAATTACGACATGTAGGGCCGCGGGACAGCCGGGACGGGACTCAAAGCCTGCTACATAGCCCTTTTTGACTTCCAACCAAAGCTGTTATTAGAATTTTACTGATAGAGTATTTTTCAGCCGCTCGCTCGCACTTTCCACGGTTCCACGCCAAATCTAGCCGAAGCCGGTCTGGAAGCTGAGAAGAAAACCATTGAATCGACAAAGAACCATGAGGTGGGTAATAGCTACGGTAACCCTAAACAAAGCATACTGCAACATAAGTTGCCTGAATATCCACAGGTTGTCTCTGCCATTTCGAACCGCCACATTTCACGAGATGTGCAGTAAGAGGTCTTCCCACAGCGATGCGCTCAGATGCAGTTATAGCTTGTGTGCCGAAATCGACATACACTCTACTTCGGGAAACGAGAAGACCGTCGAGTGCAGACCACATACCATAAGCGACGACAGCCAAGAAAAACGTGGCTTTTTTCTTTTCTTTTGCTCTCATGTCTGACTACGAAGCCTCTTTCATCGTCCGAACTAAAGGTTCACATGCCGTTAACTCAAAAAATTACGCGCCGTGACCGGACACCACAGCGCTGCGAGATCACGCGCGCAATACCGCCGAATTTCCGCGAGCAGGAATGACGCCGCGCGGTGACTTCTTTTCAGAAGCGCTCTCCTAAAAAACAGCCAGCAAAGGGCCTGCACTGAGCACGACTCTGCAGCGTTTCAGGCCAAAATCAAGATCGACACAATTGCTTTTGAGCACATTAGGGCTTAACATCTCCATATGGAAGCCTTGTTCACAGCCCCCCCCAAAACCTGTAAAAGTACAACATCTGTTGACCTTTTTCACCCACCCCCCCCCCCCCCCCCCCCCCCCCCGGTTTTCATTAGTGCGGAGCATCCCTACATGAAAACGGCGTATCTGTTGTTGTCTATAAACACTTGAGCGGAGGCTTACAATCAGAATGGCAGCTCATGGCCTTTAAAGCGAGGGATTACGATAAGTTTGGACTGGGTTCATAGTGGAAGTGGAGATGCTGAATAATGCCCCCAGTGGCGAAAAAAGCAAAGAAATCCGTCAAGAAGGCGCAAAATGGGACCCCTTTCTTTGCCCGTTGACCTCCGATAATGGACGAGCTAGCAACCAATTAGGAGGTCGTTTGCACATGTTATGCTGATAGCCTCTATCATTTCAGCAAGCATCATGCTTTGATTGATCACGCATCCCATGAAAAGTTATAGGATACACTCTGGAAGTGGAATATCTCGTCACATTGGCAATCGAAGGGCGCTGCTGCTGGGGGCGGAGCACAGACCGTGGCGGGGCTCAGAAAGGAATGGCAAGCCTTGTACGCTGCAACTAGCGCACCTTTGACCACAAAAACGCAACATTTCGTTTCCTTGGGCCCCTGACTACTGCTTCCAATGGTGCATGTACTTCCACGCTGCATACGCACTTTATCGTAATCTCTCGCTTAGGTAGAGAACGGTCAGAGTGCATTGGATTGAAGAAGAATCTTATGAATAGCGGCTCAAGAATCGCAATGGTTCTTCATTCCTGCAATTTCTTCGTCTCCCTAGCGCTGAAGTCCCGCGTAGTCGCAGGCTCCCGTCATTCTTGCCTATTGATTTCCGCATTTATGCAACTCTCATCGGTGCTGTCCTCTCCAACGCCGACGCTTCCTCTCTCTGCTGGATAGCTAGACATATGGTGAGCGTTCAGCCAGTCGGCAGGAGTACCGCGTCGTTAGCTCCGCGAGGAGGGTCAAGCTAGGACAGCTGGGCCGCGGAGCATGTCCTTCCTGCGATCGCATGTCGCCCACACCGCAGGACCCGACCTATCTTTCGGGAAAGGTATAAGTTGCCCTCCTGAACGGGCTTTGCCTTAGTGAACCAGGCGTCACCCCTATCGTGTTACTATCTACCGAAAAATTTTTCGACCCATCCCCCAAGTGGATTTGGAGCGACCCCGCCTTCGACACTCGCGATCACCGAGTGTGCGTTATAACACTACCACTCAACCCTCAAAACTCCGCCCACTTTTTCCTCCAAAAATGCCCGTCGAGCGGGGGGGTATATAGTCCCTCTGAAACAGTAAAAATTTTCCCATAATTTCCCACAATTCCCCTAAATTTTCCACCAATTTGCCCAATTTCTCCCTATAATCTCACTGTTTCCTTTTCTAGGGGGGTATATACGCCGGCTGAAACGGCAAATTTTTATCTTGCGCGCCCTCTACTCGCACAACCTACTACCCACGGAAATCTTAGTTTCTCCTCAATCCCACACGTGATTTCGAGCGACTAAAGTGGGTACGACCCCCCTCCTACAAACTCAACCAGGTACGACCCCCCGTTGTTACTCGTAACAACGTAGGGTTGACCCTGCTGGAACTCCTTTAAGCAACATGCAAGTGCACTGTTCCCTCCTGTATCCCTAGCAACAGGGACGATGTGGCGTTACCTATAAACCATATACCAGATGAACAGTATATGCTGCAATTTTGAGACAGCCATACGATCAGGGCGGACAGCGGCTGGATCTCTCAGGCCAGCAAGCAAACACCAGGGCGATCGCTGGCCCGATGGTCAGGCATATTCACGAAAGCTAAACACGAAGCGAATGAGAAGTTACGAGGCTCTCGCTTGAAGATAAGAACTGTTACGCGACTGGGATCAAGAACGAAGAAGCTGCTAGTGCTTTCCCGACGAATTCGTTGAGCAACGCGGTGACGGGTAATGCAGACAACACAGATACCACTGGGAAAACCTTTCCTTTACCAAGCTTCTCCACTTTTAAAATTGAATAGGGGCATGATATCAGATATAGTACATTGGAAGTCCCATAATATAAACGTGTATGCCAAAAACAGCTTGCGAGCTTGAAGATGTACTCTTTCAGCTGGCCTGTCTACTGCTTGAACACTGTTTGCCCAAATGTTTATAGTTTAGCCTTAGCAAAACCTTACCTTTACCTTGTTCAGCACAATGTCTGTTGAAGAACTACACAAAGACCCACAAGAAAACCCACCTGATCTTTAGGTTAAAACCTAAGGCTCGGAAGGCAACGGTTCCATACCATGTAAGATTCAGAGAGTGCATGAAAGCTAATGTCACATTGCGTACGAACAATCTAAAACGATTATCACAGTCGAAATCGTCCCATTCAATTCTTAGCCTCGCGAGTAATTTTTAAAATTAAATGAAAGCCACGACGCGAATTTAAATGGAAATCAATTGTCAACAATGTGTAGAGAATGAATAGTGACATAAATTGGACCCCACTTACAACAACCTAGTCGGAGAATTAAAGAATTAGCGAGTGAAGAGTTGAAAAGATACGTCAGCGGTTAGATATGAATCGATTGCTTGATATTCCACTCGAATCCTCAGTAGGCCGATGTCAGACTTTGCGAATCGAGCGATTTGCAGTCGCGTTGCGGTACCAGCCAATCGAGCGATTCGCTGGCCGCGACGCGACGGGTACGCTAGCAAATCGCTCGATTCGCAAAGTCTGAAATGGGTAAATAGTTAATATAATGTCTGAATTTTTTCGCTACGATTCTCGATCCTCCTAAAGCGCCCCGTGGGCGAAACAAATCGGTAAAATTATATCTAATGCTTATCGCAGGTCTCCATCTCCAGTTTGACGCTGGATATGAAGAAGCCTTATTCACCTAAATTGCGCACCTAAGCGTGCAATAAATAAATACTACAGTGCGTTTCAAAAGTATGTGCACACCCTCAAAATTCACGTTTGAAAGGGAACCATGAGGTTTCGTGCTATGAAATCCTTCTCAATCGATTTCTCGTAGTCGATAACCTATCAATGGAAGCAAAAGCAGATAATATCGCCTCACTTCGAAAAAAAATTTGGATGAAATTTTTTTCCTTCAAAAAAAATTTGAATACGAAATTTTTTTCTTTGTTTCAAAAGTATGTGCACACTTGAAGAAGATCAGATTTTGGCGCCGAATTTCCACCGATTTCAATCCGACTTTGCTGTTTTCATTTCGTCATCATGTCAATTCGCGCCATACTTCTTCCTGAAGATGAGCAAGCTCAGATCAAGGTTCTGCATGATAATGAACGTTCCAATCTAGAAATCGCACGATAACTTGGTCGTTCTCCTTAATGCATTCGAAGATTTATCTGGCACCCTGATAATTATACTCAGCACACACTCCGCTCCATCCACGATCCTTGACTGCTCAGAACAACAAAAGAGTAGCCCACATCCTGTCGGATTCTTCATTGACAGTCCGAGCTCAGATTTTTATTCCAGCCTCGAAAATGACCACTAAGCCCCTCATCCGCTCAAATGAATACACCACTCGACAGACGCTGAGAAAGGCTACTCACTTCAAGGCCCAGCACAAGTTAGCCACATTGGAGTCTGCTCGTACAGACATGGCAACATAGGATAGGACACCGGCGAAGACACGGTTTTTTCGAGAATTTCCTATTTTCAAAACAAGCAACTTTTTATGGACTTTCTCTCCTCAGGTAATCTTAACTCATGGAAAGAGTTCGATCTTGACGGGCCGGGTGGATTTTGCTACTACTGGAGAGGCTTGGCCGTGAGTCGCTCGTGCTCTCGAGAAGGAATTTCGGAAGAGGCCCGTTGATGGGTCTGCGGCGGTTTCGCAATCAGCGGAAATTCAGAAGTTGCCGTTCCATTATTGCGTATGAACTGTAAAGAATACCAAGCAGTGCTCCAATGTCACCTGTTGCCCTTCCTTAGCGAAGCGGAGCGAAAATTGCATTTTTAGCAACAGGACCACGTGTCTTTCGATGCTTCGCAATCTACCAAAGAATGGCCTTAACCAAATGGTGCTGAAGCGATAGATTGGCTTGTGTTCCTGCTGCAACCCTATAGGGAGCCCTTGATCAAGGCGTTAACTTTAGCAACCGGCAGTATAATACCGCGGATGAACTGAAGGCGGCGGTAGAGGCTATTTGGGCCGACAGCGACGAAACAGCTATGCCAAACGTGGTTCAGATTATGTCGAATAGGATGTTCGAGCTAATTAGAAATTCTGGAGGCTCCACTGATTC